GTCACTCACTCAGTTGAGGGTAACCTCACATTTCTTTGTGACGGGTTTATGCGCTGTGCGCATAATTTTTTTCACTCGCATAATTGTTGCTTATTGTTTAGCACATAAAAATGATGCTTAATAAGCGGCTACTACTCATTATTGGAGCTTAAAATTTAATTTTTGGTCAATAAGTTTCTGCATTAGTTGTAGAACTGTTTTGGTTTATAAAACACTTTTTTTTTTGTTATTTATTAATCACTGCCGATTTTGTATTCTCGTATTCATTGTGTGTTTTTTCTTTGTAGAGACTTTAGTTTTGTTGTACTTTCACAATCACGACATATCAGTGAACATTGTCAGTTAGTAGCCTTGACTTAGCGCATTATATTTCCTATTCATCTTGAAAATATGAACTTTTTTTATAAGTTTTTAATTTTTTTTATGCTTTTTGAAGATGCTGACCAAACTGTTTTGTACACTTGTGTTTTCTTTTATTACTTAATGTAGTTTATCAGTGCTTGATCATTTATTTTTCCATCTTTTTCAGTCTAAGTTTATTGTTGTTTATTAATATTTTGAGTGGCCTTTTAGAATTTTTACAAAAAAAAAAAATGAAAAAAACATTGTTCTGTGAACTGTCAACTTTTGACTGAAAGGCAAAAAAAAGGAAGAAAAAAGAAGGCTGTACATATGAAATTCAAATGATAAATTACAGTTCTTTGTTTATATGTCAAAGAAGTGAGCACTTTTTGAGAAATTTAAAAGTAAACTTAGAGCTTTACCTTTTTTTTCTGACTGAATAACAGTACCAATATTCATTATTGTTGTCTTAGTTGGTGCAATAATTGTTTTATTTGTTGATCTTCACTTCGTTATATCCAGTTTTCTCTTACAGAAGACTTGATCTCACAAACCTCTGATATTTTCGCTTCATTTTTATCCAGCAATAAAGTAACATTCTTCAAAGCGTTCCTCGAACGTTCAGAAGTCAAGAATTTTTAGCGTAACTGGTGCGTACAGTTTTGCAAATTAAATTCTGCTCTTGAACATATGTGTGCACGACAAATACATTTTCCGTGCCACTGTTACACTCATGCTTCATTTTATCAATTTTTTATTGTAATTTATATCTAAAGTATCTGATAGAGCGGTAGATGGCTTGATAAAGCTTATAACCTTAAGTAATTAGAGTATTCTGTTTGGAAAAGAGTTGTGGTAAATCTTTTTTTTACAGTTTCACTTGTAATTTGAGCGCTGATTGGATTCAAAAAAAAAAATATTACTTTACAGCGACAGTTTCTTAAGCATTAAATAATTTTATGTTATCTGTTCTTATGCATTTTTTAAAAATTTACAGAAAGCAGTCAGGAAATTTTCTGTTTAAAATTATTGCCTTTTCACCTTTTCCAGGCGGAAGTCGCTGATTTAATGTTGTTTCAGAAGCCAGAATATTTTAAGGTTTTGACGTTGAGGTCAGTCCTAAACTTACATTTAGCTGTACTGTTGTCTGCATAAAGTCGTAGATGAATATTAATGACTTTGAAAAGCAATTAGAAATTTGTAATGTTTATGTTATTTAGGTAGTTTTTTACAACTATTGCTAATTTTGGTGATTGTTATTGCTCAGTATCAACTGCATAATTTTTCTTCAAATTATAGTCGAATAAAGCAATCTTAACAGTTGATCAAGTGTGGTCTGCTGCAGCAAAAACAGTGTATGTATAGAAGATTTTTGAATAAATAAGAAGCAGCTATCTAACTGATTAAGAAATCCTCAAAAACACTTCAAGCATCTCATCAGTAGTGTTGAAAATAATTTGATAAAATACAAAGTAAACAGTTTTGAAACCAACTGGCAAACCAATTTTAGCAAAAATTTTTATATAAGAAGAATTTCTTTTTTGCAGCAATATAACCTGTAGCAACCAGAAAAAATTCAAGGACTTTTTTTGTTAGATTTTCCGCAAAAAATTTACATCCTTTTATACGGTCGGCAGATGAAAGCAATGCATGAATGTCCGAAGATGTTTTGGACGGATGATCATGTACGTATTTATCCAAAAAATAAAAAAGAAAAAAACCTGAATTTTCGTACACTTTCCGGTTAGCAGTGTTGTATGGCTGTGGTTCCACAAGTTTTTCCGGTTGAACAAAATGTCCTGTAAAATTTTGTAATTACTTTTTACAGCCTATTGTTTCCGATAATCATTGATTTTACATTTGCGAAATACAAGAGCAGATAAATAGACCTGATTAAAACTTGAAACGTAAAGTAGCTAAGTTAACAAATACGCAAAAGAATAAGAAAAAAGCCTTTTTGATTAATCAACTTGTATTATACTTATGACCTGTCATATGACTTTTATATAGAAAGGCTTGTTATACACGGATAAACGTTTAGTTTTTGATAAATGGGATCAAGAATTTACTGTAAAACATCGATTCAACCGATCTCTTTTGTAAATTAACCTGATTTCCTACAGAAAAAACTTCCATCTCATGAGTTTGTTGAAACCGATTTTAGCATACTAATCGCCTCCGTCATTTATTAGCTAACCAATGTTATCAAAACACAAAATAATGTCAATTTTTCTGTTAAAGATGGCAACATGATCTGCTGGCTGTACCGCCTGTAAGCTAGAGGTGGTTGACGTCTAAACATATTTTGGGGATCACACATCTTTTATGTGCCTTGCCTGAAGAAATTCTGCACCACAGTTCCATGTGGCTCCTAAACTTCTTAGCACTTTTAAAAAGACGCATTTAAGCAAAGTAATTAGGAGGGACTGGAGAAACAATACCTGTACCTTATCAGGCTAAAGTAACCAAGTGAAAGTTTCAGTAGTTAAAGCTGGAGAAATCTTGAAGTTTAAATTCGAGCAAAAAGAGCCGTAAAATTTTTATCCTGGCTTTACTGACGTAATATTACTAGATTTTACGCAGTTTATTAAACACATGGCTGAGACGGTTGTTCAAGTTAAATATTAAAGAAAGTGTATCTTTGTTGCTGAATCACTTCTAATTGCTGTAAATTTTAACCGAAGATTAATCCAAGAGAGATGAATTGATAAAAATAAGGAATTCGTCACTACTGCGATGAATAAAGCATGTATGATGTGTGACAGAATTTACGGAAGTTTTTAAGATGATCATTAAAACGGTGAACTGAAAACTTGTTAATAAACCTGACTTACAAAAAGTTTTTATGCAGGTATTAATGTGATCAGTCATTAATAAAAACATTCAATGAAAAAGCTGATAGGCTGGTAAAGATAGATTACAGTGGAAAAAATGTTGCAAAGATTTTTCCCGGATTAGGTTTGTCATATGGGGACTGGAACAAAAGTGAAGTTACACGCTATCAGATGCCAGTTGTACTCTGCATTGTACAATGTTCCTTGTGCAAATTTTTGTTCACTTGTTTATCCTATAAATCAGTGTACCAGAATTTTCTGGCCACCAAATGTATACATGCTAGAAGTTATTGAAACTTGTAGTTCTATAGCTTTTTTGCTTGTGAAAAAAAAAATAAATTTTTAAAAACTTGCGTAAAAAGATTTATAACTGCAGAGCGTAATGGCCACTAATCAAGAATGATTGTTTTTTTAAGAGGAAGAAAGGGAAGAAATGGCATAAGAAGAAGAAATTTGAACAAGCTTTTATTATTGTTGTATATTTAAATAAAGTAAAAATTTTGTTGCCCAAAAATATCTGCGACAGTGATTCAGCAAAAGAAATAGAACTTTAGAAAAACTGAAGTTTTTTGTCAAAAAATTTTTGTTGATAAGTGTTTGTTGTTTGTATTGGTCTATGTTTTTTTCTTTTCTTTTTTTTTTTTTTTTGCTCTTGTTTCCTGGTTTTTCCGTTGACAGTTTATAAAGTTTTAGGCTTTTTCTGAAATAAAACAGGTACTTTAATTGATGAAACTATAACCAGAAAAGCGAAAACAAGAATTAGAAATGTTTGTTAAAAGGATTTCATCACAACAGATAATTTTATGAGTTTTTTCATTGGTATACTATATGGATTCTCAATGCGTATAAAACAATGCATTCGAAGGACGGACGGACGGACGGACGGACAAATTTTTTGGTGATTGGTATTTGGCATTGGAACACTGTTGAAAAATTTTTAACTGTGCCTGTGTCATTTTTTTTTTTTTTTTTTTTTGCATTTTTTAAATTGAAATTTCACTCTCAGTTCATTCAAATGATTTTTCGCATCTTTTCCGTCTTCTTGTTAGTACAACAAAGTTTTACGGTTTTCCGGTTTGACCACTTCATTTCTGTCTTCTTCACCATTATCATCTCATTTGACTCCAAATCTGACATCTGTTTTTAGACGCTTTTAATATCAGAATATCCAAAAATCTTTCTTCGGAACAGTCAACAAACTGCATCGCTCTTCATTCATTTTTATCCTATCTTTTCCACTGTTCCCTATCCCGCCTTTAAATCCGCAAAACCTCCTTGATATCCTTTGTATCTTTCATTGTTAATCATTCCAGGACAGATATTCCTTAATTTTGGACAAAAATTATTGTCTAGAAATTTTTTATTCTAGTATCATAAAATTTTTTTTATTCTTATTTTGTTCACCACCAAAATGGGCACAGTTCTGCCATGTTAAACCTTCATTAATTACACAAACACACAGACACCGACACCGACACACGCATACGGAACACAGTGTTTATAATAGGGTTTATCGCATTGTAATATGATTGTTTATTTGTAAAAATAGCTTTATTCTTAGAATTCTTCTTAACATTTTAAAAACTTCACAGTAATTTTGTTTCTAAAGCTTCTTCTTTGTATTTTCACAAACTGTATTACAGGTGTTCATCTAGTATGCCGTAAAAATACTTGTTTTTTAAACTTAATGTTTCTTTCCAATTTTTTCCTTTTTGGCTTGCTTGTGTTCTTATCAATCACTCACTTCAACAAATTCAATTTTACTGTAGCTAAATAAACCAGCATAGCAGTTTGTTTTCGTCGCATTTTTTTAAAACTTCACTTTTGGAAGTGCTTTTATGTTAAATAACTTTTGCCTTTCAGATGAAAGGAAATTTTCGGTCATTTCAGAGGCGGCTAATTGAAAAATGTTCTAACTGTAATTTTTAGTAAATTTAAAAAAATTAATTCGAATTTTGATGGCATTTTTCAAAGCATACTAAACGTCTTTCAATGCTATACCTAATTTATCAACTTATGTCCACCACTTGTATTAACGTTCATTAGAAAGAGAAAAAGCAAACAGGATAATTTTTTTTGGTTTATTTAATGCTTTGTAATTTTTTTTTCTAAATTGTAACAAATTTTAATCAAAATTTCAATTGTCTTTTGTGATATTATTTTCTTTTCTTGAAATACAGATTAATCGACATTTTTCTAGTAACACTGAGCGAATGTTACAAAAAAAGGGAGAAATATGACCGCCGTGTGAACTGTTTATTTCGATAACGCAATTTTTAAACTGTCGGCTATCAATTGTTAAATTTAAAGATTAATTTGAAGATTTTGTAATTTTTTCCTTTTATTGCATTTAATTTAGGTTTTATAAAGAATAAATTAAAACCAGTTTTGTTATACGCATAATTAGTCGTTATAAAAACAGCTGATACAAAAAAAATTAGCTTCAGTTTCAATCATAAACAGAAACTAAAGACCTTTGCAAAATGATTAGTTTTATTTTTGGTGCTTATATTTGGTGGCGGTACTGTCGGTTTCCGATTTTCTGTTGCTGTTCAATCATCGTTGTTTTATCGACAAAACTGCTTTATTCTGAGAGGTTCTAAAGGTTCTGAAAAACTTGAATATACCTGATTGAGTGATTAAAAATTTTAAAAAATTGTTCCTGGTTTTGCTTGTTATTTCTGCAAATGTCAGTAAAACAAAAATGACTCAGCATTTTGAAAGCATCTAAAAAAGAAGACTGCATTTTGAGTTCCAGAAAACAAGTTTACAAAGCCAAAAATTAATAAAAAAAAATTTTTTAAATTCAATTTCCTTCTTTTTTTTCTATTTTCGAAACAAATTTAGTTCTTGTTTGAGTAACTGAGACTTAAAAACAGATACCATCGTTCCATTTTGTCAGTAATGCTTCTGTATACTGCTAGTTAATTGTAAGTGCTTAGTTGAATAAGTTAAGCAAAAGAATTAGGAAAAAATTCATAAGTTTCAAAAATTCTTAGGTAGTAGAGAACAAAAATTTTCAAACAAATAAATTTCCACAAGCCTCTCTTTTCTTTTCATATTTATTAATGGTATTACTGTTATTAAAAAGCTACAGTTTTTATTCATTTCTTTTTCTATTTTTGTTAGACTAAACTCCTGAACGTGTGTTCTGCTTTACTTTTATGCGATTTCTTTGTTCAAAAACCTGTCTTTTTAAATGTAAAGGAAACTTCTGAACTTAGATGTCGTACAGTTGGTCAGCATTTTTATTGATAGCCTCTGGATGGTTAGCAACTGTAACTTGGACTCAACATGTACCCGACGTCTCACAGGTGGCTGCTTTAACAGAGAATGCTCAGAAGTTTCTTGAACGTAAGACAATTATCTGTTTTAATACACTTGAAATATCAGTATGCTAACTGAGTTGATGCAGATTTTGTTTGGTTAGATGAGCACAGCTAATTGGTCTGATTTTAGTTAAATTCAGTTTTTTAGCTGCTGTACAGATAAATATAATTTTCAGAAATCTATTTGGTGTTGCCAACATTGCATGTGCATCTGTGTCTGTTGTGTGTGTGTGTGTGTGTGTGTGTGTGTGTGTGTGTGTGTGTGCGTGAAATAACAACGACTTTCATGCACTTTTTTTGTAGAATACAAAAAAAAGTGTTTTTTTCCGTCTTCTGCCCCGTAACTATTTTTGATAGCAAAGCATAATGAGTTGAAAAGGAAGTTGAGAAGTATAAAAAATGACGAAAAAACGATGGGGAAATGGAGAGTGAAAAGAAGGTATAGGCAAATAACAAACGGAATAATATATTACACATATTTCATCTATGAACTGAAGACAACAGAGGGGGAAAAAAGTAGTTGTTAAAAAATAAAAGAGTGAATTAGATTTTATTTTTTTCGCTAGTTTTTTTTATTTTTTAACGCAGATTAATCAAAACAAATCAATTTTTTTTTGGCTTTTTTTTTCAGCACTTTCCACTTGACCCAAATTATTCTTTTGTTTGTTTTTTTAATTTGTTTTCTTTTTCTTTTTGTCGTTTGTTAAAATTGTTTAAATTCTTTTCAGTCGAAAAAAGTGTAGTGACAGTTCATTTGTTCTGTGTATTCCAGTTCTTTCATAGTTTTTTGTGGACCACAAGTCCTGTAGGATATAACGATACTGTTGTTGATCAAACAATGGAGCTTGCAGAAGCGTTTTTTTAGTTCTTTTATCTTTTCCTTTTTTTGGTAACCAAATTTGTTGAAAACAATAAGTCGAAAAGTTAATGGTGATAAAAAAATTGCTGGAACATTCTTCGGTTTACTTTGGTGATACCGGTATCGGTCTCCCGGTCACAAACTTACTGTACAACGCGTAAGGTAAAGCATTCAACTACAGCATCTAGAATCTGATCATTAAGAAAAAACCGTAACTGTTTGACAACTTTTACGGTTTTGAACAAATCTCAAGTTTTTTGTTTTTTACTACATTCTTCTTTTTTATCTCAATATTAAACAGTTGTTCTTCTTGACAATTAAATGATACTGTCATATTTGGGTGAAATTGTGAATGTTTGTCTGCAGTTAATATTCAGAGATTTTTTTTAGATTTATTTTTTTTTTTTGAAAAGAGAACTAAACATTTTAGATTTCAAGTTTTTAACAACAACGTTTTAGTTTATGGACTGGCGACACAGCTGATGAATCTAGGCGGTAGTATTATCAACAATGCTCAGGATAGTAGCCGGTCAGTTTACTTGCTTTTTTTTCGTAATATCTGACCAGTAAGTAATTCTGAATAGAAAAAAATTCTTTTTTTTTGCTGCTCTTGCACGGCGAAAAAATAGCATTAAAAATTGTTACTTAAGTGCAGTTTCAAAAACAAGTCTTTTAAGTACATCTGAACAATAGGTACCTATAAAAATCTGCATAGTTTATCGCCACCATGATCAATTCTGGAATGATATATTCTTATATGTTTGCAAAAAAAATTGTTTGTTAATTTGAGAGAAATTTTTTTCACTGTTGTTTAGCTGATATTTTAAATTCAGTTTACGACGGGTATAAATGTTTTTAAAAAATGCTGTCTAGAACTGGAAGCAGCTTATACGGTAATTCAAAATATGGGATGTCTTCCAACGGTATATTTGGAGAAGTTATTAAGCCACAGCTAAAAGCTGTTAACAACTACGAATTCCCAAAATCTTCATATGCATTCTCTGAATACGGCGGCGGACCTCTAGGAAGTGGATCTGGCAATACTCAGTCTGCAAAGCAATCCGGACTTGAAATGCTTTTAAATCAATTTTTAGGTATATTATTTTCAATCAATTAAGATCATGTTGAGTCAAACAATATTGCTTAAGTTTTGAACATAACAAATAATTATCAAGGAAATCTCTAAAGTGACTGAATTTTTTTTTGCAGGATCTTCAGTGTCGTCTTCCTCGTCATCGCCATCATCGTCATCACCAATGAGTCTTGGTAACTTTTTCTCGTCTTCCTATCAACCAGAACATACTTCTACCGGTTCCAACATTGACAGCATTGTTAATGCTTTGGTAAGAAGTGGAGCAAAACGGGTAACTCCTGATGGTGAGGGTAATCAGAATTTGCTAACTCAATTTTTCGGCTAACTTAGTTTAGTAATTTTAGTTAACAAAACATATTCAGTAATAAGTGCAATATGTCACAAAATTAGGCTTATTTAATTCTTCCCGGTAACACTGCGCTGATGGTAAAAAATTAGCATTTCTTAAACTACCAGATAACTTTTGTCATCTGGCACTAATTTATTGTAGATTTCTAGACTCTTTCGGTTACTAAAGAAGAATTTCACTTTTTTGTTCAGCGACTTTAGTAAATTATGGCTTTTCTAATACTTTTAAACGATTAGAAATACAGCTAGAAATACAAAATCTGGTCCTCAAGTGTACATTAAAATTCCCAGCTAAAACTTGCCTTCGGGACTGAATCTCTACGAATGACATCATCGTTGTCTATAAGATACTTATTTTGCTCCTGTGTATTTAGTATGTGTACACTCTGGTATGAAAGCATACATTAATAAATTATTCCAACTTAAATCAGTGTACAAATGCTATACATGCATCTGACTGTATAGAACAATTGGCTACGATTGAATCTGATAAAGAGAAACTTTGAAATAAACGCTGTTTTTTTATTTGGTCAGAGTGGTTTCTATGACTTAGACTTAACCCTATGGTTTGAGCTTCTCAGGCTCTTCATTACTTCAGAAGTCAATAGGCAGTTACTAGCTGGAAAACTCATTTCAAAAAGTACGACTAAAAAATGCTTACTCTTTGAAAATAATCAGCTTAGTGTGTTGTAATTTCTAAGGAGGCTTCAGCAAAAATTTTTTGAAGAAGACAGAATAAGACGCTTTAAATGATTGGCAAATTCAGAAATAAAATTTAAAATTTTTACAAATTCACGTATCGTAGCTAATACGACTATTCGCACAGCAGTATCAAGGACCACTTTCACTTGGAACATTTTAGTCCAAGTTTCTTTTCTTGTATAAATAATTTAATCTTCTAATACAAGTTGATTTCCAGCACTATAGTTTGAAGCAACTATTCGTCAAAATTTTTGAACATGTTAATGGTCTTTTCTCTGTTGCTAAGAACCACTTTAGTTAATAAATAAAGAAGCACTTAAGCATCTTTAAAATTAAACATTATTAGAATAATTTTCATTCCACCCTCGGCAAATTGAAAGTTTTTTTAGCTGATCTAATAAGATGCGAATACCAAACCAAGTTGTTTTGCACAGAACATATGTTTCCTTGTATCATTCGTCAATTGGTAGACAACGACAGCGTTTGACGTAAATAATTACAGTTTCTGATTGATTCTGTATTTGAAATTCAAAATTTCAAAGACCAGGCATTCTGCTTCACACATTAAAAATATCTTTCGAAAAAAACAAAATTAACTGTTGTAGAGTAATTGGATGTGATAGTTGCTAAGCAGATATCTTACACTTGAAAAATAATTTTCTAGACAACAAGAGGTGAAAAAAACATTAATCAAAGATTTATTGTCCTTGTTATTATTATTTTTTTTTTACGGCTACTGCCTTTGTTTTTGTTTTCAGACTATTCTGTACATTATTTTACACATTTATAAATTCAAATTACAGCCGATTATGACCCAAACAAAAAGGCGGAATAACCTGTCTTAATGAAAAGAAAAAATGTTCCTAATGAAAACAAGAAGATTGCAACAAAAAAATTTTGGCATAGAAAATTTCATTGTTTTTTTTTCTTGCCATGCACAAATTTGAAAAATATCAAAAAAAAAAAAGATTTTTTTTTTTTTTTGAAATTATGGTCAACAGTAAACTACTCAGATGCTTGTCACAGTGAAGGGGCACGATGAACAGTTGATCAATGTCAAGTTGCTAACCAATCATCCTTGGCCAGTTTCAACTTGAAACAGCATTTTAAAGTTCATCTGTCAAAGTGTTTAAAATTCGGGTCGCCATTTTATATCGGTACCAAACAAATTTTTTTTCATCCGCTATAAAATCAAAGATTTGACAGCGGATGAAAATAAACCTTTTCAACATTTTGCTGCATCATCATAGCCGATATCTTTTTAACAGTCTTGAAGTTTAATTATTTTATAAAAGAATAATTTCTGATTGCCTTCCTGTTTAGCGACAATCGTTCACCAACATTGAGTAAATGTTCTCTTTTTTATTTAAACTTTAATATAATAGACAATTACAAGCAATAATTTAGATATAACTTGCACGCAATTAATGATTATGAGACAAGAACCGATTGTTTATACATATAATTTCTCCTTTTTTTTTAAAGTTTTTATTGTAAAACAAATTCAGGTTTGTCATGTTGTTAAAGTTAGGATCAGACCAGAATTTATAAAATAACTGATACACTGATATCGTTAGAAATGAAAACGCGTTGCATGTTACCGCTACACAGTAACCCTTTTAAGAAACGTGTATTAAAGTAATGTATTCTCCCAGATTGCTAGAAAATTCATTTCTTCTCTTCTCTTTTAAACACTAAAGCTTAGAAGGAGAAGATAGTTAAAAAAATATGACTGAAACTGATGTGGTCAATCACTTTGGAGATGTCCATGCAGCGAACACGATGCCGACACAGTTTTTAATTCATTGTCAGTAGTTACATGACGGCAGTGTGAAACTACTCAAAACACATGTAGAATGCAGAATGCATGTGTTTCGAATAGTTTTTTCACTGTATTTTGGAACACAAGTTTATTCTGAAAACCTCGCACTTAGAGTTCAACCTTTATTGACCGTTAAATAAAATTCGATTGTATTTTATAAGTAAGTCAGTTTCGTCTTTGCACACTGTTGCCGCGATTGATATCGTTCCTGGCTTTTATCGCACTTCGTTTGAGACAGTTACAGCAATATTATTATGTTATAGCTATAACTTTATAGTAAGATTATTGTACAGATTATTGATAAGTTTGATAAAAAACTGTAAAACAGTAAGAAAAATTCAGTGGTGATAAAAGTTTCGTTCTGTGACAAGCCGCTAAATAAGCTGCTTGTTTATTACTCTAAAAAACACTACACAATTATAAGTTACTTTGAAAAAGATTTTTATTAGTCGACAATTTGCAGTTTTTTTTTTTCTGAAGTTAACCAGATCAGATGTTACTAATATACCGCCAGTTATAACATAGGTTGCATACTGTCTTATGCACAATATTTCTAGTATCGGTTTAGCAACGTTCCAGATATCACTGTTTGCACAGCAAAGTTGTAAGTAATATACCGATACCATTCTATAGCTATCAAAAAAATAGCTAATTAAAAAGAGAAAACAAAAACCAACAGCATTCTCTTTTTCTGTCAGATCAACTGTAAATTTTAACAGTTTATTTACTTGTCTTTGCTAATGAGGCTGTAGTTAATTTGTGGTTTTCAAACTGAAATCTTTATTTTACAGTGAGCAGCTTGAAAGTTGAACGTAAGCAATCATTATTTAAAAGTGTTTTTAAAAAATTTAAGTAGTCAAGTCTTATCTAGTAATCTGGAAAAAAGTATCTGCTTACTATTCAAAGTGGTACTTACAACTTTGTAATATTTGAACGCGTAACCAATAGATCTGTTTCTAGAAGATTTGTAAATTTTTTTTAAAATTTATTGATAAAGTTAAAAAATTCTTTTGTTATCGATCAATGAGCAATTGTTAAGCCTAAAAATACTTTCTCTAATTTCAATTTTTTGGCAGAATACTTTTGAAACTGTTGCATTAATAGAATTTGCCCAGTTTGGTTACGAGTAATAAAAAGCAGTAAATTATTAAGCAATTCTAATGACAAACAAAAAGAAATTAAACTTAATTAGTAAAATTAACTTAAACTTTAAAAAAAAGTGTGAAACAAGTTTAAATAATTTTCAATATGTAATCTAAATTTAAAATTACAGGTAACCGCTGATGAAGAAGTGTTGAAAACAAAACCAATGTTTATTCATCGATTTCTTCAGTATCATAACGATATTAAGCTGAAATAAAATTAAGTCTGTCTGCAAGAAGTTATAAAAAGTGTTCTTACGATTAGTTCTTAGACTCTGTTTCATTAACCATAAGTTAACACTTAGTTTTATTGATATTTAAAAGCAAATTTTTTTTTTTTATATTTTACAACCGACATCTATCAAAAACTATTTTTGCTTAAAATCAAATCAGTTGAGAATGACAGAAAAAAAAAGAAGGAAATTTAATTATAAATATTTTCCTTCTTTTTTTTTGACCACAGTTCTTTGAGAAAATAGCTGCTTTGTATCATAACTAGAAAATAGTGGCTAAGAAACTATTAGTTAAGACTTAGGCAAAAATGTTTATGTGAAAAACTTTTTGGACACCTGTAATAAAAAAATAAAAGTTATTTTTTGTCTAATAATTTACTTGTCGTTTTGCCTAAATATATATGCATTTTCATATGCTCGTTTTTTTTTTTTTTGGTTGTCTTTAAACATAGAAAAATGTATCTTTTCATTATTATCCTGTAGATAACATATAAGAAAAAGAAAGCAATGTATAAAAGACTGTAGAAAAGTGCTTTATCTGATACATACTTAATAGCCGTTTTTTTTGGTTGAAAGAAAACCGTTTTTAAAAGCAGAGAAAAAAAATGTATGAAAAAAAATTTATTTAATTAATTAATTATTTTTTGATTAAATAAGCTTAAATTAAAGGTTAACTCAAAACTGAGCAATAATGTAACTTTTTTTGTTTTACCTGTCTAATAGTTTGAAAATGATTGTTGACAATAGTTTTATGTTGTAAAGGAAAAAAAAATTTGTGTTTCGTAAAAATTTTTTTCACTACTCGTCGTTTTACAAACATTAAAAAAACGCTATCTTTGCCAAATCAGCATAAAAATTTGTCAGTAGAACAATTGTCAAACATACAAAAAACAACAAGTAAATTTAATTTTCAGTAAAAAGCTATCTGTAAAGACAAATTTATTAAATTTGAATAAATAAAAGTTGGTGGAGTAATTTATATATGTAACTGCAGTTTGTTGTTTTTCAATCCAACAAACAGTGCTCTAATGAGACTGTTTGCTGTTTGGTATGAAAACAGTTCGATAAACTGATGGCA